AGAAAAGGCCTCCATATTTTTTTACTTTTGTCGACACTGTTACATCTTCAAAACATTAATAAAGTGGTCAAATATCAATTATTTGCTATTCAATGAAATGTCACTTCTGGGTGAAAGATTTCTCATATTTATTGAGTCCCCTACCCCAATCTCAGGTTGTTTCTACTTTGCAATGAGTCTGACAAGAGGTGAAGTTTTCTGAGCTTTCAGGATGTTGACAGGGATTTCTTCTCAGTGTTGTTTCTCTGATGTTTAGTGAAGTCAGGATTCAAGTGAAAGGTTCCATTAAAGTCACAAGGTTTCTCCCTGGTGTGTGTCATCTGATGTGTTGTAAGGGATGACTTCTGGTAGAAGGTTTTCCCACATTCATTACATTCATAGGGCTTCTCTCCTGTGTGGGTTCTCTGATGTACTGTGAGGGATGACTTGTGGTAGAAAGTTCTCCCACATTCATTACATTTATGAGGTTTCTCTCCTGTATGTGTTTTCTGATGTTCTCTCAGTTTCATTTTCACAGAGGATTTCCCACATTCATCATATTCATAGAGTTTCTCTCCTGTGTGAGTTCTCTGATGATTAATGAAGTTTGGCTTCTGGGAGAAAGTCTTCCCACATTCCCTACATTCATAAGGTTTCTCCCTTGTATGTATTCTCTGATGTACTGAGAGCTGACCCATCACTGAAGGCTTTCTGACATGTCCTACATTCATAGGGTTTCTCCCCTGTGTGTGTTCCCTGATGTACTGCAAGGCCTGACCTATATGAAAAATTTCTCCCACATTTGGTGCATTCATAGTCTTTCTCCCCTCTGTGTATCCTCTGATGGAGGACAAGAGGTTTTCCCACATTTACTACATTCACAGAGTTTTTCTCCTATATCTGTCTTCTGATTTGTAGGAAGCATTGGCTTCTTGCAAAACGAAGTAACATATTGGTTAATTTTACAGACTTTCTTTCCTATATGTGTTTCTTGATGCTGAATGAAATTTGGCATCTTGCAGAATACTTCCCAATCTTCAATACAGTGAAAGGTTTTCTCTCCTTTATACATTCACTGAAGGAGTGACTTCTTGCTGAAACTATTCTCACTTTCAATACACTCATAGTATTTCTTCCCCATGACTCTATGGTGTTTATTTAGAGCTGAATTCTCACCAACACCACCTTTCACAGTCTTTAAATTCACAGTGACTTTCCCTTGTATGAGTTCCCTGATGAACAATGAATGTTGGTCTATCAGAAAAGGTTCTCACATGTTCATTATATTCACAGGGTTTCTCCCACGAGCATGCTCTCTTATGGATAATGAAAGTTGCCCCCTCACGGAAGGCTTTCCCACATTCATTATATTCAAAATATTCCTTCAGAGCTTGAATATCCTGATGCTGAAATAGGTCCTCATTTTGACTGATAGCTTTCCCACTTCTATCATATTTTAAAAGTTTCTCTCTGGAATGAGAATTCTTGTGCTTTGTACAGAGGCGCAATTTCTCATGTGCATTAAACTTGTCAACCTTCCTTACAAAGGACTTTCTATTACTAATAATTAATTCTGAAATATAATTCAAACTGATTCCATATGAGTCACATTTACCAGCTATTTTTCTGGATAGAACAGAGTTTGTGTCCAGATAAAATGTTTTTTCCTAATACACTATTTCCCTCCTTAGCCAGTGTTTTGTTGTTGAGAAAATCAACTTTACACAAAGGCTGGTTTTACTTTTCCTGGCTCTTCTCCATCAGGTCAACTATGCAGAAGTCTAGAAATTAAAATAACTTACTATAGTTTACAAACGTTAACACATTTCTTATGAAAGGAAGACATATTCATATGTCTTATAGCCAAGTCTTTGGCTGGGAAAGTAATCCTAAGGGTACACTGCCTTGCTCCCCTAAGTCTGGAAAAAATAACTTGCAGTAGTGGAAAATGACTGGTAAATCTGGCAACAAAACACAATAATTCGGCACTTCAAAAATGTTTATTGTGGGGATCATTTTGCAATATATACAAATATCAAATCATTATGTTGTACATCCGAAACTAATATAATGTTGTATGTCAATTATACTTCAATATAAAAAATGTGACATTCAAAAGTGGATAGAATTTGAAATAAACACAAACAAGCAATAAATGAAAAATGTTTGGATGACTGCTTGATGCTGGGATGGGGAACCTCACAAAGAATAGGATCAGCCTAACAACTCAACAAATACTAAGTAGAATCACAAGGAAAATTAATAGACAGTGATGGTGAGGGGAGATATCAAAGGAACAATTAGATTTAGAACAATTAGGTCAGGATCTAGTCATTACCTCCTGAAGCAAGAGCCTCACTAATGTACACGCTTACAACCTCATCCCTCTCTTTTCTATTCCATATAACACCATCAAATTAAATTTCCGAAAGTGCTCATTTCCATTAGAGTTAAAAGGAAAATTCTATTGCCTGGGCTATATTTGCATTCTCACTGGGATTCACAAGGAATATTAATGTCCAAACGAACTACACCTTCAGGTTGTTCTTATAACAGGATCAGATGTACATCTTTATTCATCTAGGATATCATCATCTAAAACTTACAGTCTGAGAATCCACTTATACAACCAATTATACCATGCTTCTACCTGTCTCTTTACATTCATCTTCTGTTAGTCTAATAATTGTGAAAAGTCTTCTCAATTTTCTACTCTTTGCAATTAAAGGCAGAAGATAAAAATTCTGAATTCTCAACTATGTTCAATGAAGGTTAAAAAAAGAAAGAAATGACAAATAAGGTGTCTCCAGACTTCTTTCATACCTTCATCACAATTGATGCAGAACTTCAGAGAACTCAATAAGAAAACTGAAGGGTGGTATAACAATGAAGATTTACTTCACTATTGTATTATCCTTTTAAGAAATTCCATTATTTTTCTATTTTCTTATATTTTAGTCTGTTTTAGCACAGTTGGACTAACTGACGAGTAGTGTTAAAATAATTGCTAGGGTGACAGAAAAACATTTCAAAGTATGTTAAAATTAGATGACAACAATCCTATGTTTCTTAGATTTACAAATGGGACCAAGTCATCCCTCTGGAAATTGCAAGATAAAATAAGTTTTATTCAATTAAAAAAATAAGTAAATTCTCTCTTTGTTCATTCAGGTTAAAATTTTATTTTAATTCATAATTATAAGAGATTATGAAAGACATAAAATATCAATCCTTGCAAATAGAACTGCTTCAAAAAGAAACTCAAAAACTAAAATTGGGTACACTGGAACCCTGATGGTACACCAAGGGTTAATATTCCATTTTGTTTAATATTTGAAGTATATCACTCTTCCTTTTTATATTCTAGTAATGGAATATTCCCTTACTCCTTTTTATATTTCATGTGTACTTTTCAAACACCATATACCTAGATTTGTAAAATTCCAAATTGACAATATCTGTCTTTTAACAACAGGATTTAGTCCCTTTGAATGTACTGTAATTACTGGATTATAATATCTGGATTGGTTTCCTCTGTTTCATTTACAGTTCCCACTTGTTCTAATTTTCACTTGCTCCCCCCCCCACCCCCACCCCGGCTTCATTGTCCTTTTTTGGTCTGATCCAATATATTTTTGGTGATTTTTTTTCTTTTCCATTTTCTTCCCTTTAAAAGTTTAGAAGTTACCTATCATTTTCTTTTAGCATTTATTCATTAAATTTTACCATTTATATTTAAGTCAACATTTCTTCTAAACAATAAAAGGATTTAAGAACATGAGTCAAATCAACTGGCCAATTATTTACGTGCTATCATTTGTCAATATTTTACTTTTGTCATTTTTATACCCAACAGAGCAAACATTACTACTATTTTACACAGACAATATTGTTTGAGTTTACCTATATCTTTACTTATTTCCTCCCCAAACTGCTTCTCCCCAAGTTTCCCCATCTCAGTTGATGGTATTATCAGGTGTCCAGTGCCTAGGGAAAAAAATCTTTGAGTTTTTCTCTTGATTATTCTCTTTTTCTTGTATGCACAATCCAATCTAAGAGCAAATCCTGTTGTGGCTACAACTTCAAAATATAGCAAGAATCCAACCATGTCACTTGACGTTCATGATTCCCAAGCCAGTGTAAGGCGGCAGGACCCCTTACATGGAGTACAGCTAACTGCCCTCCTTGACTTTACTCTTACCCTCCTCCTCGCCCCTCTGTCAGCATTTCCACTGCACAGCAGTCGAGACACACACGAATCAGATCAGCACATGTGCTCCTGTGCTCAACACCTTCCAATAGCTCCATCTCAATCAGAATAAAATTAAGGAGCTTACAATAGCCAGCACGGCCAAAGATAACAAAGGCCCAACTACCTCTCTGACATCATCTCTAACGCACTCCCCATCACTCACTGACCTCTATCCAGCCTGGCACGCACCATCCTGTCCTGCACACCCTAAACACTCTGGCCTCAGGATCATGGTACAGGGTATACCATCTGGCCAGAATATTCAAAATTTACTGCCTTACTCCATTCAAATCTGTTCATTATTATACTGAACCTCAAAGAGGGTCTCCCTGACCACACTTTCACAAACAGCACCACATTTCATTCTCTTTATCACTGAAACAGTCATCATATCGTTAACAGCTGTAGCACCAGCACACAGACGAAAGTGGCATACAGTAGACGCCAATTTAATAATTATTGAAGGAATACATAATATATGATTAAAAGAAGACAACTAAAATTGATGCAGAAAGAATAATCAAATATCTAAAACAAGAGGGGCAAGGATTGGATTTTTGGAAGAAAACAAAAGGGACCATTTAGCTGTTATCTGTCAGTGTGATATATGAATCTGGGGCACGGTGGCCAATTATTCTCAGCCACTTCCAAAGTTCCTTTAACTCTAAAAAGAGTTTCCTGAAAATTTCAAAGATGCCAACATCTGAACTAAGTCCCTAACATCCAATTTCTCCCTGGGTTACAGCATCCTCTGTACTCACTCACTCACCTGGGCCTCTGGGTTTGGGAATCTTCCTCTAATATCCACGGCTCTTCTCCTTGCTCCAATTTGAAAATCACTTCTGGTTTGGTAACACAATACCCTGTGAATGGGAAATGACACAGGACTTGGACCAGGTAGCGTGAGGTTCGAGATTTTTAAAGGAGGACAAAGGTGCGCCTGCAGAAAAATAGGTCCACTTGAACATTTCACTGGAGAAGAGAACACAAATTGTTCTTCTTTTCTTTCTTCTTCTTCTTCTTTTTTTTTTTAGTGAGGAAGATTGGCCCTGAACTAACATCTGTCACCAATCTTCCTCTTTTTGCTTGAGGAAGATTGTCGCTGAGCTAACATCCGAGCCAATCTGCCCCTATTTCGTACATGGAACACTGCCACAGCACGGCTTGATGAGTGGTGTATAGGTCTGCGCCCAGGATCCAAACCCACCTACTCCAGGCCACCAAAGCAGAGCACACAAACTCAAACACTATGCCACCGGGCTGGCCCCATAAATGTTCTTCATAGTGCCCGAAAGGGATCAATTGCCTTTGACTCTGGAATTTCAAATCTATAAATCACTAATCTCTACAAAGAAACCACATATATCAGCAGAGAAAAAGGAAAAAATGTTATTTGGAGTTACAAATTATACATTCCCTACCCCCTGAGACGAGGTGGCTGTAGTTCTCCAGCATCACGTCCCTGTACAGGGTCCTCTGAGCAGGGTCCAGGTGCCACCACTCCTCCTGGGCGAAGTCCACAGTCACGTTCTTGAATGACACTGACCCCTGAAACAGCACATTTGTGTTCAATCTATAGTGACGAGAACTGGACAGCATGCAATATGTTGGAGATCTAACACATTATCATGTTCACAGCTAATAGTTGCAGAGAAAAAGCTATATAGGATCTCTTCTGTCAGTATTACACATTGTGGGAAAATAAGAAATCACAGTACAAGGACTTGCCAGTGTGTTAACTTCTTAATTCTTACAAACAGTATACAAGGTCCTGCCAATGTGACAGGAACTGTCCCAATTTCTGGGAATGTAAACATGAATAAAGAATAATTCTGTTCTCAAGTGGTTTATAATCAGGTCAGAAAACATTTAAACATATATATCTGCAATAAATTTTCCAAAAGCAATACTACAAGTCTCTGAAAGGTAGACAGGTAGTTGCGAAAAGGGAAGAAAAGCTAAGTTCAAAATGGAACTTAACGTAATATCAGGTTGAGCTTTATTGAGGAGTAAAGCTGTAAGTCTTGATACATAAATCATGTGTTCTTTATAAATATGAGCCAACTACGTAGATAAGGCATAGCAGCACTAAAAAATATTTGATAAGTTAATGAAAATGCATGATAGCAGAATAGGGCTTGAGATGTATCAAGATAAAGCCTCAAAGATATAATCAGAAGCGAGATTAAAAGTAACTGGAGACATGTTCCTACAGTTAGGGGTTCCAGAATATTTGATCTTTTACCCCTTAATTAAAATATGAGCACTCTCCCAGCATAGTTATTTATACGTTTATATGTACGTAAAATCTCATTCTTATTTTTTTTAATACAAATATCTGCATATAGATATGCTAGCAATTCCTTCCCACACTCCAACAGCTTTTCTCGGGCAGCCCCTGGGACAGTGCTCTCAAAGTGTGGACATAAGTCAACAACAGTGGCATCACCCGGGAACTTGTTAGAAATCCAAATTCTCAGGCCCCATCCCAGACCTACCATGGTGGCCAGCTTCCAAAATGGTCATCAGTGATTCTCACTTCCTGCGATTCATGCCCTTGTGCAATCCTCTCCCACATTAAATAGGGCTGACCTCTGTAACCAATAGGATGTTGCAGAAATCACAGAATATCACTAATGAGGTCACGTCACGTCACAGAGGAATATTGTTGCTTCCACTTTGTTCCTTCTTGGATCACTGCCTCTGGGGAAAGCCAGCTGCCATGTCATGAAGACAGTCAAGCAGCCCTATGGAGAGGTCCACCTGGGGAGGAAATGAAGCCTTCTGCTGAACAGCAGCACTAATCTGCCAGGTATGTGAGCGAGCCAATATGGAAGCAATTCCTCCAGGCCCAGTCAAGCCTTGAGATGGCTGCAGCCTCAGGAGACCCTAGCCAGAATTACCCTGCTTTGAAACCACTTGTAAATAGGTGACCCAGTAAAACTACATTAGATAGTAAATGTTTGTTGTTGTCTTAAGCTGCTAAGTTTTTGGATAATTTCTTACATAGCATTAGATAACTAATACATCTAATAAACAGATACTCTGAGGATGAGACTTAACAAAGAGAGTTTTAACAAGCCCTTCAGGTATTTTGATAGACACCAAAGCTTAAAAACCACTGACTGAGAGCAGGAGTTGAAAAACTTCTCTTTAAAGAGCCAAATAATAAATACTGTAAGCTTTGAAAGCCACAGAATCCCTGTCACAACTACTCAACTCTGTCATTGTAACATGAGAGCAACCAGACACCTTGTAAACATATGGGTATGTCCATGTTCCACTAAAATTTTATGCAGAAAAAGAAGTGGCATGTCAGATTTAGTCTATGTGCCACAATTTGCTAAACCCTGATCTAGAAAATAGGCAAGAAAAGTAAAATATGGTAATATCAAATTTAAACTCATAAAATACACTCTAAATGCAAGAGAAACTGCCTCTTGAATGATTAACGTGTAATTTAACAAGCTCCCAGGTGATGTTCATGCTGCTGCTGATTCTGAATGCATGCTTTTAGACCACCAAGGTAGGAGATAGAGCCCCACTTTTGAAATCACGGATGCAGATAACAGAGTCAATGAAGAGGTGAAATGAACTCTAGAGTTACATGTCCAAATATGCATTTCAGGAGCAATGATGCAGAGTTGGGCTAAACAATAAGGTAACCCATAGCCACACGTATTACCAAGCAAAGGAAATGTGGCTAGGGGAAACAGAGGTACGCTATAAGTATAAAATACAGACCAGATTTCAAAGATAGTACAAAAAAATGTAAAAGATTTTATTAATTGTGTTTTTCTAATATTGATTACATGTTGAAATGATATTTCGAATATGCTGAGTTCAATTAAATACACTAAAATTAATTTCACTTGTTTCTTTTCTACTTTTTTTAAAGTGGCTACTAGAAAAATTTAAATTACATACGTGGCTATTCTATTAATCAGCACTGATCTAGAAGAATAGTGAAGAATGGGTTAAGGAAAAAAGGAAGGAAAAGACCAGGATGAGAGGTGACCACCTAATCCAGGGGCTAATAACGGAGAGGTAGAATAGAGACTTGATGCAACAGAAAAAGAAAATCAATTCCCTGATTCATGGAACAGAGGGAAAGACAGGGAAACTACCTCCCAGGGTGTCTTTATGAGGATCCAGGTAAATCCAGGTGCCATTTGCAAAGACTGGGAAGCAGAGAGAAAGAGGTTGGGCAGAAATAAGAGTCAGAGAGCTCTTGGACATGTTCTGCGCGAAGGGTCTGTGGAATAGGCAAACAGAGATCTCCAGGAGGCAGCTGGATGTGCGGTCCTGAAGCTCAGGAGTGAAGCCCAAGATGAAGGTGAGGAAAGGGAGTCACTGGCATTTGGTGGTAAGTGAAACCAGCAGTGAATCAGATGGTTCCAAGGAAAGAGACTGAGGACGTAAAAGTACAAGTACAGGACGTGGGGGAACTCCGCACAGGAGCCTGGAAGAACAGGCCATGAAAATGAGAAAAAAATTATCTGAAAGGTAAAAGTAAAACTAGTAACCTACATTAATAAACATACAGTTCTTCACTTACGGAAAATGAACAGAAAATGAAGCAGCAGAGCTATTTTAGGAAAACCAAGGGCATAACACAAGAACTAAGATAATCAAAATAACCAAACACACAAAAAACAAAACTGCAGCAAGAAATGGAAAAAAATCTTTTAATTCCAATGGTAAACTCACATTTAGAGAGAGAGCAGAAAACTGTTTAAAGAACTGAATTCAATTACAAAGAATCAAAGAACAAGAAAGTCCTCAAAAATTAAAAACTGACTGCTGAATTGTGAAAACCAAAACTCCTAACTGAAGGCCCAACATACAACAGACATAAACGAAAAATTGGGCAAATCTTCTAGAACATATGACAAAGGACAGAGACTGGTGAGTACACATGGGAGATCTCAAGATGATTGAGCCTTCTTTCCTGGGCATATAAAATAGTGACAGAGTCCAGTCCAAGACGGTGACATAGGAGGCTCTTGAACTCACCTCCTTCAATGGACACACTGATTGACAACAACACACAGAGCAAATCCTTCTGAAAGAAATCCAGAATCTAGCCGAGTGACTCCTACACAACGAGCGAATAAGAATATACCCACGTCGAAATGCATAGGAAACACTGAGACACAACCTTACGACAAACCCCACCCCCAGAACAGTCCCACACCATCAGGAACGAACTCTCAACTCTAAGCTTCTCTCTGAGGAGCAAAGGTTATGGACACCACATTTAGTGCCTCAACTTTTAAGACTCCCACCTGAGGGCATCGATGCAAATAACCAATAACCAATCTACAGATAAGACAGATAAGGTGAGATTTACTTGAGCCAAGCTGAGGACTAGCCCGGTAGGGCAGTCTCCACAAAGGAAGAAAGTGTTCCGGAGAAGCATGGTTTACAACACAGTTTTATACATTTTTAGAACAAGGAACATACATCAAACACGTCCAGGATACATATTCACCAAAGTTTCAAAGAGATATTTAGTTATAGATTAGCAGGTCAACATGACCCTGATGACCGGAAAAGGAAACTTATTTCAGGGGTACTGATACTGGTGCTACTGGCATCATAGGAAAGGAAGTATGCATCCTTATCTTCAAAGAGTGCCTTCTTTTACTTTGAGATAATGTTTAGTGCATCCTTATCTTTAATGGTTAAAGCAGATGTACAATGTATGTCTGATAGGCCATAAGGAAGGCTTCTTTAGTTCAGGCCAAATCAGGTTCAAACCAGAATAAGCTACCCCATATACCTCAATATGTGAAGTTTTCTTATCAAAGGATAGGCCCTCAAAACAGTGAGCTCTGAAAGCAGACAGGGCTTGCATCCACTAGAACCACAAGACTATGGCAAACAAAGAAACAGTTCTTAAAGGGCTCCTGAGACTTGCCGCGGCCATCCCCCAAGGGCTCAGCGCAGAGGGAGCACACAGAAGGCCAGTCTCCCAGTCTTTCCCTGAAAGAGGCTATCTGCATACTTTAAAAGCTGCTGCCCGAGGACCAGACATCTAATTTAGCATGCATCTAGGAGCTAACTCCAATGCTCCCAGCAAACTGGGGAAGCCATAAGACATCACTCTGCCTTCTTCCTGAAGCCCGCTCCAAATTGCCAATATCTCCCCAGAAAGAGCTTGGACACTCGTCTGGCAACCCAACTTTTACAGCTGCTGCCCAAGGGACAGGCCCCTGGATTGCCTGGCTCTGATATCCACCAGGGCTTGCATTCACAAGACCCACAGGACTATAGTAAACAAAAAAAAGAGTTCTAAACTGTGCAGGAGCACACACCTCCACCCTCCTTCTACCCCCCAGGACTATATACCCAAGCCCAGTGCAGAGGGAGCATGCAAAAAAGCCATCTCCAGTTTTTCCTTGAAATGAACCTAACTACATACTTTCCCAGCTGCTGTCTGAGGATCCAGCCTCCAATCAGCCTTCATCTATGTGCTGACTGAGATCCTCTCCTTTGGTGCACTGACAGGTCTTGGTGTGCCCTCGACTACAGGGAGCCACTAA